GGCCCCCAGGGACTCTGCTGCACAGGTGGGAGCCCGCGCCCAGGCTGCGGGAGCAGTGCGGGCCACGGCCAGCAGAGGGCGCTGTGGCGTCGCGGGGAGGGGAGGGCGAGTGTGGCGGGGAAGTCCCAGCTGTGCAGAAGTCAGAGCTGGTGCGGGAGGAGCCCCAGACCTCTCACTTCCCTTTTCTCCTTCCACCCTCTCAGCCGCCCCATCTCTCAGACTGGCCGCTGAGCAGTGTGTGGCCTGCGAGGTCCACTGTGGGCCAGACCAGGCTGCTCTGAGCCTGCATTGCAGGAACACAGTGAGCCCTCTTGACTCCGTGTAGACTCGCTAGGAGTGGTGTTGGGCTGGGCAATCCTCACTGCCCCACAGGGAAATCCTGGCTCAGGACTTGAGGTTCAGGCTGGAAGTGCCAGACAGGGACAGTGCAGGAGGGCCTGAGCGACTGTGCGCTATTGCATCTTCCACACAACAGGCTCCCAGTGTGACTCTAGCTGAATGTGAGTCAGGTATATAACGCAAAATGTCCAGTAGTCATATTATAATATCAGAAAGAAACATGTGAGACCGATTTTCATTATACCCAGACGACAGATGATGGTGAGGAACCACCCAGGGCTTGTGGCCTGCTGTTGGAGCCCAAGTCCTGTCTGGGGAAGGGACACTTCACACACTTGTTCTTATGGAGTAAATGTGTCTCTCCTTAATAGTTGAGAAATTATTTCTGGGACTTCTCTTGTATAGGAAAAAAAATACATTTGTTAGAATAAGGGAAGCTTGGATTCAATCCTGATTACTAAATCACTTCATCTCTCTGTGCCTCAGTTTCCTGCGTGCTAAGTCAGAAATAATAAGTGCCAGCTCACAGGGATGGTATGACTTATGCAGATCATCCTATGTATGTCTTAGTACAAGGTGTGGGTTCCTGAGTGCTAGGTCCTCACCCCTGTGGTAGGAAGTTCCTGGTGTCAATGTACCCTGATGCCCGGAGTGCCAAGTCGCTTAGTGTATTAAATGAACACATGACATTTTAATAACAGGAACTAAAATTTTCACCAGCAACAACCAAAACCAGTGTCCAATAAAACATAACGCCACATACTTCTAAATAAATCAGATAGGAAAGAAATTGAAGGTTATACGGTGGCTCTAAAAATTCTATGCCCTTAAAAACTTACCTCTTCTCCAGAAGCAGGACTATGGAAAGAAAGTTCAGCTGTGAAAACTCTGAAAATGGTCACTGAGACAGTCGATATGCACATGTGCTCACTCACCTGGTGGACAGACAGGGCTGAAATCAAAGACTAGAATTCCATAGGAGAAGCCGTACAAACCACAGGCGTGCATGTCACAGGGTTAGCAGAGCTAACAACCTCCCACCACCCAGTTTTTAGTTGGGATTATTGAGAAATCCCACTCTAAAAAACATACCCAGCCACAGTGTGTGTGCATGCTAGAAGACATGGTCACAGCAGCTCTTCATCAAAGCCTGCAACTGGAAATTATCTAAATAGCTCCCTAAAGTAGGAGAGTTGGATCCTGCGTGGCACAAACACACATTGCGATTCTTTTAGCAGTGACAGTTACTGACTTGTGAACTAATGGAGAGAGATCTTACAAGAGTGAGTACAAAAGTCAGAGGCAGAAGAGTACACACAGAAAGGTTGTGATTATGTAAAATAAAAATCATCACAGGGTTCGCTCTGCGGGGAGGGGCAGGAACTAGGAATGGGGGCTGGGGCTTCTTGGTCTGCAGCACTGTTACAAGAATGTTTTCATTTCATGAAAATTAACCAAGCATATGTGCACGGTCTCAACAGCAGAATACTATGTTGTGCTCTAATATCTTTAATTATCACACAAATAAATGCTAATTAATGATAAAATTTAGATGATATAGAAAAACTATTGGGAAATCATAATTAAATTTGACCACCTCAAGAAGAAAAAAGACAACTGAAATAACCCTTTAGTCAATGAGTAATTGATTTAGTAGCAAATATTACATCCTAGGGATCATATTCACTGGAAATTTCTTTCCCATGTGCAAGGCAGAAATAATTCCAATTTCTCATACACTCTTCCAGGTAAGAGAGACACGAGCAGCAGTGTGACCTTGGGGAGTGCTTTGCTGTCTCCAGACCGTGCTGTGGGCTGCAGGGGGAGGAAGTGGGGAAGGCTCAGCTCCCGGAACCTCCTGTCTCGGGCAGCGGTGGGTCTGCAGCTTCCCTCACGTGCACAACGACTGTTTCGTCCTCACACTCTGGCTTCCTGTTGTGGTTTTCTCTAGTTTTTCCCAGCCTGTTCCTCCTCCACCGAGTGACCCTGTGACCAGACAATCCCAGGATGGCGCCTGTGCTCTGGGCTGCTGCTACCCCTTCGTGCGCCCGAGTGACTAGTCCTTTCCTCTGAGCTCTGCCCTGATGCCTCCCCCACTTGCTGCTCTTCCAGCCTCCTCCTGCACCTGTTGTCACCACTCCCCGACCCCTGTCACCAGGCAGAACGCAGGACTTTCCCCACTTGCCTCCTTTTTCCACCCACCGTGATCAGGACTCAGTGGGTCCTGTATCCTTCATTCCAAAAAATGTCGCCCTTCATGCCCTTCCTCCTGCCCTCCCTGCCCCATCCCCTCCCTCTATCCCCATGTCCTTTTCTGTCCTGGATATGGTGCCCATCCCCCCACAGCCCCTCCCCTCATGCTGTGCCCCTCACAGCACCCAGGCCCAGAGAGAGTTTCCTGCACCCACAGCCCACCCTGCCGCTCCCTGCTCAGAGCCCCCCCATGCTCTCTCAGCACCCTAAGCTCACCATGTCCCAGTGTGTCCCCCTGGAAGATCCTGGATATACTTGTAGGTCCCCTCACCTGCCAGGCTGTCTCAGTGCCTTTCTCTTCTTCTCCACCCAGGATGCTCTGTGACAACACCCCTCCTTCCACCCTCAGCTCAGCCTCTTTCCCTCCAGGGGCTTTCAGCTTTGTGGTCTCATGGACTGTTTATTCAAGAGTATGGGTCAAATAGTCAGGTGTCTTCTGTTTGTCTTTAATTTGAGGTAAGGGAGAGACAGGCCTCCCACTCAGCCTCCTGCTCCCTCTGCCCATCACACAGCCCTGAAGACCCTGAGCAATGGCTCGTCCCCGCCTGTCAGGAGGGCCAGTCCCTGCTCCTGGTGAGTGTGGCTGACAGCAACCCTTGACACATTGAGCTGGTCCCAGGAGGGAAAAACCCTGAATCCTCCCCAGCTCTCAGTACCAGGTTCTGCAGCTGCCCCATGTAGAGGATGGAGAGGCAGGTGCTGGGGTGGGCAGCCTGGTTAGTGTTTAGGTTTTGTGAGGGGCTGAGGCCTGGGGACAGATCCTCACCTCCTCTCGCCTTCCCCAGGAGGCTCCTCTGGCTGCAGATGTGTGACTGGGAACCAGGAGGTCTACTAGCCGGGGTCCTCACCCTAATGGCGGGACCTTCATGGGGGCTGGTTTCCTCTTCCCCTGTGGCCTCCCCTGGAGCTACTGCAGCAGGTGAACAGGCCTGCCTGTCTCAGGGAAGCCTGGTAATTAGCTCCTGAGTTCCAGGTGGGGCTGAGCTGTCCTCACCCACCTGGAGCCAGAATTAAACTGACCAACTGTGACCTGAGACCCGTGTGGCTGTGCAGGTGTGGGGACCCCAGGGGAGCTGGGCTGGGAGGCCTGACTCACCCCTCCTTTTCCAGACAGAACTGGGGTGTGGACACCTAGCCATGAGGTACAGACGTGGGACATCACCGTCAGCTTTTCTCTTGAAACTGTCCATTCATGCCCCACTGACTGCCCTTTGTGTCCTGTCTGCCCCTGTCCCCATCTGTGCACCTTCCACTCCCTTGCCCATCTCTGTTCCCTCCTGTTCCCTGTCTGGGCCCTCTGATGGAGGCACCAGACCTGAGGACCTTATGCTCTCACCACTCAATACTTACCTTGTGGCCAGGAGGGAAGACTAGAACATTTTGTCCTCCACATTGTATGGGTCAAAGCAGTCACGAGTGCAATCCAGACTGAAAAATAGGAGCCAATAGTAATAATGAACTTGATTGTGTAATTAAAGCGATACTTTATTTGCACTGGGTGGACTGGCGTTGTTAGGGGCTTTATTTGGATACAAGTTCCTACAGCTGCTCGGGGGCCTGAGTGTCAGATGCCCC